GGGGGGGGGGGCCGGTAGTGGAGGTAAGGAGAATGGAAACGCCCCTGCAGAGTAGTCCAGTAGGGGCTTGGCGGCAGCTTGACATCTAGCAGGCCCAGTCAGAAGATAAGGCTGCTGGAGACGGGAGACCTGAGAACCAAGCCTTGGGATGAGGCCTTTGATGACACATGGCTAGCGGCCAAGAAGCAGCAGAAGGCGCTCAGACCTGGATCTGGGTTGGCGCGGCTCCCCTCCTCGTCCCCAGCTCAGTGGGGCCTTTTTTTTTGTCTGTCAGTCCGGGTGGCAGTGGTGGCGGTAGCTGCCGTGCGTCTCCCGAAGTGGCTGATGCAGACCAGCTGCGGGCAACCACGCCGTTCTCCCTCCATCTGTGCGTCCATTACTTCCCTCCCTGGCCTGCCCCACGCAGATCCTGACCCTCGGGGTCACTCGGGTCTCGATCTGCACCACAGCGGGCAAATCAAGCCCACGGTTCTCTTGGGCTTGGTGACCTAGAACGCCGGCTCTGTGCTCAGAGAAGCGGCCGCAGGGCCTTCCCAGCACGCAGCCCGCCCTCAGGCGCCCAGGACCTTGCGGGGCGTCCGGGGGGAGGCGTCGGTCCTCACCTGCAGGACAAAGCTCGCCCTTGCCCCTCATGCCCTTTCTCACCAAACCCCTTGCGTGGTCCACACTCACCTGATGGAGGGGGCACCAAGATTTGCTCTGGCCTTTGGCACAGAGGAGGACCCGTCTCAGCCTGGCCAGTCTCTCCCAGGACTTGGGGGTGGGTGGGGGTGAGGAGATAGGGAAAAGGGGCTTCCCTGGAACAATGAGTCCCAAGGGGTACACCAGTGTAGGGGTGTGGGGGAGTGTCTGAGCATCCCGCCGCTCCCCCACCCCAGCCTGCACACTCCCAGCTTGGTGGCAATTGCACAGAGCTTTTTGTGAGCCAGCGTAAAGGCCTAAAAGAACTCACAGACCTGAGGCCCTAGAAGTGAGAAAACTAAAATTTGTCTGAATCGGTTATATCTGCATTAACGTTTTCTGAAAGAGAAAACCATCCCAGAAGTGTGTGAGATGTATGGACTCCCCACCCCAGCTCCTCTGCCTGGAGTTTCTCCCACTTCCCTCTCATTCTGGGTAAGGGATTTCCCCTGGGCGGGTGAGGACAAGCACATCTCTTGGGAATATCCTCGGCCATCCACCAACCCAAGGAGGTTATTCTGGGGATTCCGCCCCCCTTTACACTCACAGAATTCAGAGAAATGCGTGGGGTGGGAAATCCAGGGGACTAAAGGTCATTTATTGAGGAGATATGGACGCCAAGAAGAGGGGGTACATCTGGGGCAGGCCTGGGTAGAGGAATCTGCAAGCTGAGAGGCTGAGGAGGGCAAGGCGGGTCAGAGGTGCAGTGTCAGGGAATGAGAAATAAGATGGGGGTGAGGAGGAAAGGGAATTCTGAAAGAGGGTGTTGGGGGTGGGTGAGAAGGCACCCTTAAGTGGGAATGGAGGTGCCTTCTGGAGGGAAAGTGAGAAAGAGGGGATCTCTGCTAGAGGAGGGAGCAGAGGACCCCCAAATGTCTGAAGGGACAATGGGGACGGTCTGTTGCAGAAGCGGGGGTGGTAGGCAACAATGTAGGCTCACGTCTTTGAATGGCTCTGGGGAGGACCCAAGGCAGAGAGGGTTGGACCATGGGGGTGGGAGGTATGGTGGGAAGAGGTGCACTGGAAAGCAGCAGCACTGCCAAGCTGGGGTTGGGGGAAGCCTATGAGACAGCTAAGCGCCCCGCTCCTCAGCCCAGAACCCAGGTTTAATCTCTTAATCTCCCTCATTAATCATTCCCTTCCTCCTACCCCCCTTGGAGGATCTGGTTTCTCCCCAGCTCAGGTTCCAGGGGCTTTGCTGGGAAAAGTCCCCTCCTGTGGCCCCACAATTGTCTGGACAAGTCCCTGGCTGCTGAGATGACCTTAGCTGGGCTCTGCTGTAAGTGGCCTCTTCTCTTTACTAGTCTCTCCTTCCCTCTCCTCCCCCAAACCCACATCTGGGGACTGCCCAGCCCCATTGTCCAACCCCATTCCTAAGCCCGGTTGCAAGGGGGAAAATGTTGGAGAGACAGAAGGGGAGGAAATCAAAGGCCCTTCAGGAGAGCCCCACACTGACACACAGGAGTAATTGAGAGCAGAAGAGATGACATAAAAGCTACATAAGAAGATGCATGAGTGAAGGCTGGAGTGTCTGTTTGGTGACAGGCCTGGGACATAGGCTAGACAGTTCCTGCAGCCTCCTGAGACCTTCTTTAATTGCAGATTAAGTGAAACCCCCAGGATGGTTCAGAGGGCTGAGGTCTCCAGCTAAGAGGATCTCTCCTGGCCCTCCTCCACCTGCCACCATTAATAACCAATTAACAAGGTCCTGGCATCTCAGCTTTCCACTGTCTGCTCTCTGATCCAACAGTGGCCCACTGGGCTGAGTTTATTGCTTAGGCTGCCATGAAGGTACTATATGAGTGTCTGTGTGAGTCTTAGGGGATGGGGGGTGACTTGGGAGGGAGCCCTTTACCAAGAATACCCTTTGTTGGGTGTGGGCTATGTCACTGCCTCAGGTTACATGAGGTTCCCTGACCCCCATTATCAAAGTGTTTTCCTGTCCTTGTCAAGGAGTCTTTGACCCAGGTGTCTTGGATCTCCCAAGCTCTGTTCAGGGCACCCCAACTGCAGGTTCCACTTGCCCCAGAGAATAGACAGGTGGACTCAGAGTATCACTGCACAAATGGTGGGAGGTACAGAAGTCTACAGAGAAGGTGACATAATGGACAATCCAGGAGGGACTGGTCCACTTCTTCATGGCACTGTTCAAAAAAAATAGAAGAAATCATAGCAGCGAGTTCCTTAGGAGTGGTGAGTTCCTCAGGAGTGCTGGGGCTTCTCTGCCTCTGGGATGTGATACGTGAACAAAACCCTTGCCCTGTTGGGCCTCCACTGGTGAGCAGTGCTATCCCAGAGCTGTCTTCTTCCTACAAAGGAGGGCTGTGGTATAGGCCCAGGACTAGCTGTGGGAGAGAAGTGAGAAAGACAGAACCCAGATAAAATAGGAATGAATATCCCGGGTCTTAGAATTTGCCCCTGGGTTGGTAGGGGTTCTGTCCCAGGATCTGGTTGGGTAGGTGAAGTCTGCCCTTCAAGTCACTCTTCTATAGCGAGTGACCCTGATGCTCCTGGGCAGTGACCAATGGCCGCCTCCACTGTTGTAGGTGCTGGGTGGTTTCTGGGCCTCTCCGGGCTGAAGGACCTCTACTCCAACTACAGGAGCTTAATAAGAAAACAAAGACAGACAGATCGACTGATAGATGGAAAGAGTAACTGGGAAGCCCAGGCTTCACTGGCAAAGACCCCTCCTGGACAGTAACACTAGCTCTGGTTTGCTGTGTCCTCTCTCCTGAGGCCCAGGTCTCCGGCCCCTTCTCCATGTGTTTTGACTTCCTCAGGGCCTCTGAGCCCTAGCGGGACAGCCTTGGGTCCAGCCAGAGAGCCGGCAGAGTCCACTCACCTGCACTTGCTTCCCCATGGCATCCCCAGTATTCCCGGTTACAATCGCTCTGCCCGGCCAGGTCCTTCCAAGTTGCAAGTCCCCCAGCCCCCAGCACCTCACTAATAACTTCCAGCCGCCCGACCTCTTTAAGAGCCTTCCGCAGGGATGGGGCGGAACGAGGGGGCCAGGTCAGGAGACAGAGGGCCTTACTAGGTGAGACTGGGTATCCTACCACTGCCAGTTCTGCTCTCCCTTTTCGGAATTTTGCAACTCCCCAGCCGTTGGGGCCAGGGAAAGCAATTTTATTGCCGACGAGTTTATGAGCCAGAGCTGCGGCTAGGCGGGGAGTCTGTGGTATACAGAATCTGGGGGCCGCCCAGGAAGGGTCCAGCCCGAGTGTGCACTGCGCCGCGTCCGGCAGCGCAGAGCAGCCCTGCGGCCCGGCCTGGCGGTTTGTTCCTCCGGTTTCTCTCCACACCTCCCCACCCTGTAGAAATACCGCTGCCTGGACGACTACCAGCTCCAGACCCACCGCGGACCCGGCCGGGTTGGGGGGTGGGGGCGCAGGAGGAGGGGCACTCGAGGCTCGGGCCCAGCGCGGGGGGCGGGTCCGAGGCTGGGGGCCCAGATCGGGAGCCGCGCTGGGGCCCAGGCAGCTGCGGAGCCGAGCGCGGCGGGCGGCGGGACCGCCACAGCCCGGCTGGCCATGAGCTCGGGATCCGAGCCCCGGACACCCCGGACACCCTTCAGCATCGCAGACATCCTAGGCCCGCACATGGTTCCCCGAGGACCCTCTGCGTCGCAGCTTCCAGAGTCGAACCAAGGTCCCACGTCTCCGCTGTGCGCGCTGGAGGAGCTGACTAGTAAAACTTTCCGCGTACTTGACGGGCACGCTCCGCAGCCCTCTGAAGGTATAGCGCCGGCGAGGTCGCTCACTGTGACTTGGCCTTCTCCCCATTTCTTTCCTCCAGGTTCCCGGTCTCGAACCTTCGTTCACCCTGGCCGCCACCCTAATCCGCACCCTGCCCTCAGCCCACGTGCTGGGGCTTGCCTCTCCCTCTTCTCCCCTCCCCTCCGTTAGTTCCCAGGCTCCGCGCCCGCTCCTGGAGGCCGCCAGCGCCGAGGGGAAGGGCCAGTCTGTCGAGAACTGTGCGGGGCAATCGCGACAGAGAAAGGCCAGAGAGGAGACAAAAGGCCTGGCCCGGAGGCTGTAAATGAGTGAGCTAGGGCAAGGGCGGCGCGGAAAGTGCAGGGAGGCCAGGCTCGGGCCTCTCCGGGTGACCGAGCTCCGCTCCAAGCCTCTCTCCAATCAAGAGGGCGCAAGGAGCAGAAGTTCCTTGGAGCCTCAAGGGCTGCGGGACTGTGGACCTCGCCTTTCCTCGCCCTTTGTACCCCCACTCTCTCCCTTTTGGGCTCGAGGAGGGGGCGCCCGTGTCACCCAAAAAGAATAAGCCCAGAGTGCCCAACACCCACGAGTTTAAAGAAGGGCACGGTGCAGGTTCTCTTACACTCACCATTCCGGCTGGCTGCCCCTACTCTGACCATGGTCGGCCCCTGCCTCTGGTGCTGGCCCAGACCTGCAACCCCGCTCCACCAGGGGCTCCAGAAGGCCTCAAAGGCCCCGCCCTAGACCGCCTGACCTTGCACCAGTTCTCTGGCTTGTCCCGCCCTCCTCCCACTCCCCGGTCCCCGCAAGATACCCTCAGCCTCCTGCCTCCAGTACCCCAGGGGCCGGTTCCACCTTGTGCCCCACCCCCGGGCTGAAATACCACCCTCCCCCTCGCAAAGTTCGGGAAGGGGCGGCGGTTCTGGCTCCCGTCCGTCTTTTCGCTCCGCACCAACGCCCCCCTCGCTGGCTTGACCCCACCCCCGCTTTTCCTCCCGGACCGAAGCCTGATTCCCGCAAGCTAGAAGGCGGCTGACCCCCGCCCTGTCCCCGCAGGCCGCGCGGCCCCAGGCGCGCTGGGCCCTGGCCGGGCCGGCCGCAGACGGCGGAAGTCACGCACGGCGTTCACCGCGCAGCAGGTGCTGGAGCTGGAGCGGCGCTTTGTCTTCCAGAAGTACCTGGCACCGTCCGAGCGTGACGGGCTGGCGGCGAGGCTCGGCTTGGCCAACGCGCAGGTCGTCACGTGGTTCCAGAACCGGCGAGCCAAGCTCAAGCGCGACGTGGAGGAGATGCGCGCCGACCTGGCCTCGCTGCGCTCGCTGTCCCCCGAAATCCAGTGCCGCCTTGCGCTGCCTGACGGCGCCCCAGGCCTCTGCCCTGGCCCCGCCCGGCCTGACTCTGGGCCCCAATTGTCAGACGAGGAGATACAGGTGGAAGATTGAAGGCAAAGCCACTTCCAGGGCTCTGGGGCCCTGGACTCCGCGCCTCCGCGTCCTGTCTGGGTTCCGGGGTAAAGGGAGGGTGTCGACCCGGGCCCCTTTCGGCTCACAGTCCAGACGCCCACCTTTCCCAATTGTTGAGAATAAAGTTGAGACTCCGCCGCAGCACGCCTCAATCCTGACGCTCCCAGCAGTAAGAGCAAAATCTGCTGATTATTGCGAAGATTCCGTGCTTGGCACCGTGCTGAGCGCTTTAAATCCGATGTTTCCTTTAACCCTCAAGCAACCCTATAAGGTAGGTGATATAATTATGCCCATTTTATAAAAGAACAACCCCTAGGTCAGAATGTGGACCCAGGCATCCAACCAGCCTTCAGAGCTGGTGCTTGTCAGCTTTATGCTCTGGAGACTGCGGGATGAGGGGAAGGGCATTGGGACTCTGGTAGCTGCGGGTACGTACTTCTCCTCTACTGGCTGCCTTAGTTCCAGGTCTCCACCCGGCGTTTGATCAGCTGCCACCTGGGAGACCTTGCACCTAACTAATAGACTGGCCCCAGAGTGACAGCGTCCTGCCTGACTCTCCTTTTTCCCCACCCTGAGGTCATTTGTTAATAGAGTCCTGACCCTTCTCCTCGCCCCCACAGAGAGAATCCTACACTGAGACACAGGCGAAGTGATGAGCTCTGGGAGAGGTGACATACCCCTGCTTCTGGGACCTCCATCCCACCCCGCACTTGGGCGGAAAATGTCACCACCAGGATGATGGTGGTGGCGGGAGGGTGGGAAGGATTGGTCCTACTTGCTGAGGCAGAGCTTAGAGTAGCTGCTTGCAGGGTAGAGAGCCCAGCCCACCTCCTCCAACAGACATATCTGAGATTAATTTCTAACGCTGGTAATTAATCATCCTCCTGCATGTGATGGGGAGGGAAAAGGAACACTCCCCGTGATGCAGGTCTTCCCCCATGCCTGGTCATCCCTGTTCATCTTTAGGAGTCCCTCCTCATCAGTCCTTCCTCCCTCCTCAGACCTTCCCATGCTCAGGTGCCACAATCCCACTCTCAGGATGCTCTGGGAATAATCCACCCAGCGCTAGGGGTGGGGGAGGGGTATGTGTCAGCTAGGGCCTCAGTTGCAGGTAGAAGTCCCAGAAAAGGATATTTCAGGGAAGTGAACAAGGCTGGAAGGCAGAAAGGAACCTGGCATTTTCAGACACAGTTCCAAATGCTTTGCATGGATTAATCTTTACAATAAACCCCATGAGATGAGACTTTAAATTCATTTTAAGGATAAGGAGAATGAAATCACAGAAGCCCATGATCATGTCATGAAGCTTGTAAGTGGGGGCTGGGACTACTAACCGAAAGAAGTGTTCACAGAGCAGAGAGAGGGAAGAGCCAAAGGTAGGAATTTAGGCATTGTACTGTAGACAGAGTTCTTGGAGGTTTTAGGGAGGAGAGGTATAAGAGCAATGTTTAGGGCAGGCTCATCTGGCTGCACGTGCAGGGTGACTGGCACAGACCTGATGAAGGAGTGTAGCTCTGGCCACTGCAAAAAGTAAGAGCAGAGAGAATTCAGGGCCAGAATTGGAGTGGGGAGGAAGGTTGTTATGAAACAGGAATCAGTGTAATTTCTCCAGTGACCAAAGATTGGAGGAGTCAAAGACAACCTTGAAACCCTGGGCAACTGGAAGGAAAAGGACATCGACAGGAACAGATAATGACTACTAGTACGGAGCTAAGAATCTGTCACCTATTATATACAAAAAGTATTCTTTGCACCTGTGTTACCTCTACAGTACACATATACAACACACACATACCTCCCCTGGTCCCTGTTCAGGGCTCCATCTGTATTCCCTTCATCCCCTTCTAAAGACTGCCTCTCTGGAACCTTTAGATTGGGGTGACTAATTCATTCCTGTTTGCCCAGGGCTTTCCCAGTTTTACCACTGAAAGCTCCACAGCCTTGGAAATCCCTCAGTCCCAGGAAAACCAGGATGTTTGGTCATTCTGCTTTCCAGGCCTGAGGACTCAGAACTCAGGCTGCTGGGTCAGAACCCTACCAGTTAGCAGTGTGAGTGTGGGACAAAGTGGAGGCAAGGTGTCAGGAGTCCTATGGGAAAGATTTTCCCAAGTCCAGGACAGTCTAAGAGGTACTGGGGCGGGGCCATTTCTTTGAGGGGCTGGAAGAGCAAGGAGCAGCTCAGCCTGAAAGCAAAGATGCCATACAGTAGTAGTGGGTGGCCCTTCTTTGAGGGGCCGGGAGCCCTAGTGGAGTCCCCAAAGCATGTAAGTCCCACCTTCCTAGCCCCAGTCCAGAACAAGAGGGCCACATGAGCAGGCCTGGTATGGAGGCACTGTGATATAATCACCCCTTAAACAAACACAACTACCTCTCTCGAACCTCACCCCCCCGCCAGCCGGGCATGAGCAAAGAACTCCCAGGGCAAATAATTCTAGTCAGGAAGGTAGGGTTCAGTCAAGTTAACTGGCTCTGAGCCATAACCCTCTGCTACTTAGGGCTTCCTGAATTCTAGCCCAGTGCTACCACCTCTTATAATCAAGGCTTGGATAAACAAAACTCAAACCTGTCCCACCAAAATGGCCTCCTGGATGGGTGTCTCCTCTGCTAGGTCCTAGAGCAGAGCTTCCCAAACGTCAGGTGCACCGGGAGGGCTTATTGAAACACAAACTGTTGGGCCCACTCTTTCAGTTTCTGATTTAGAAGGTCTAGAGGGGGCCTGAGAATTTGTAGCTGCAAAAAATTCCCAGGTGACACTGATGCTGGTGGCCCAGGGACCACGCTTTGAGAACCACAGTCCCACAAACTCTGTATTTTGTGAAATAAGCAGCAATTCACTCATACTCCTCTTCCCAGTGTTGGAATCATGAATATGTAGGACAACTGCAGATAAAATTCAGTTTATTTAACACCCATTATGTACCAGGCTTTCGGTAGGTAGGTTCTCACACTTTCTCTTTCAGCCCTCACAACGGCCCTGTGAGGTAGGGATTGCTCACATTTTGCAGATGAGGAAACTGAAGCAAGGGTGTTAAGAAATCTGCCGAAGGTGACCCAACTAGTAATGGCAGACTTCAATCTGTCATACAGTATTTAAGGGGCCTGATACCATAAACAATAAAAGAATTTGGGACAGCCTTAAATAAAGAGGTGCTTCAGCATCTCCTATCTCTAGGTGCAAATGGTGTTGAATAAGATCCATAGGGCAGCAAGAGTCATTCATCCTGATAAATGGTTCCTCTAGGAAAGGCATTCTGGAGGCCTAAAAGTCCCCTGCAGATCCATATTTAAATGAGCTAAGAGTCCCAGGCAGAGCTAGCGAGGAACCAGCCAGGAGCAGCTGCCAGGATCTTAGAGGAGAAACCAGAAGGAGGTCATGATTCTTATACAGAAAGTAGAGGATTTTAGCCTTCTTTAGGGGCAGTGACCCTGGGTGGAAAAAATTATGTAAATTCACATGGGGGAAAGGCTGGTTACAATGCCCAGCGCTGGAGTGGAGAAAGACCATGACCGAAGTAGCAGAAGCCTGGGTTCCTGCTAAGGCCCCATCAGTGGGAGAGCCAGCAGTGCAGGTACATGGAGATGTATGGGCTCTGCCAGCTCCAGGCAGGTGCTGGTAAGCTGGTAAATACAAACCCTTGGTGAATCTTCTAGCAGTGGGAGGAGGTGAGCATCAGACCACTGGGCAAAGGAGAGGTCAGAATATGCATGGAAGTGTGGACAGGAAACAGGGCATGAGGAGCTCAGGCTTGAGAAAACAGGGCAAGAACTGGGATTAGGAAGAAGTGAGCATCTGTCAAGCTGAAGGGCGAGACTTGGGCCTTATTCATTACTGTGACCCCATCCTGAGCACAGAGATCTGGCCGGTGAGTGAGTCCCCCAGGGCCAAGAAGCAGGGCAAGCCTCAAATGCCCCCACTGCCAGGTCTGTTATAGTCTGAAAACCTGAACTTTTGTACAGATCCCTTCTTGAGCCTTGGGGGATTTTATTTTTCTTTACTGCTCCCAGAAGAAGCCATCTGCTTAAGAACCAAAAATAGCCTATTTCATTGGATGTAGGGCTCCTTTCTCTCATCAGAAGATCTCTGTGGCAAGAGGCATGACTGCCAGGGATGCTCCCAACCATGGTATTAGAGTACAGGTCTCAAGATGTGCAGTGAACTGCTATCACACAGTGTCCTTCATCCCTGTGGGATGCACACATGGCCTTGCCTTATTAGGGACAGGTCCTCCTTCATCTGGTGTGAGGTAGGTGCTGGGGCCCAAGTCCCAGGATGCCCCAGCCCTTTGAGGAGTCCTGGAAATGGAGAGGACAGGGTCTTCTGCTCTGAGTATGGGGGAGGAACCAGCTGGAGTGGCTCAGGTGATGTGGGGGATAATGCAAGGGTGGAGACAGAAGGCCAGGGGCCCTCGGAGCAGTGCTTCCAGGGCAACTGAGGGAAAGGAGGCCTGAAGGCCCCAGCTCAACATGGGGAAATGCATAGGGGAATCCAGTTGACAGGCGGCCCAGGGCTTCCTCCTCTCTGGTCCTGCTGAGAAAGAAGAGGGAGGGGCACCTGATACTCCTTCCAGCAGTGCTGCCTGTGCCCCCCTCATCCCACGCATTC